CGCAGCTGTGGGATGCCCGGGCCCTCCGGCCGGGTTTGCAGCCTGTCTCTCCAGTCGGTCCTTCCCAGAGCCTGGAGGTCTGCGAGGAGGCCCCAGGCTGCACGGAGCCCGTGCCCAGGGCACTGGTCAGTGAGCACCACAGGGCCCAGGCCACTGGGCGCTCTGACTGGGAGGTGACAGACCTGAAGGAGCAGCTGGAAGCCCTCAAGTGCCAGGTGACCCTGTGGGGAGAGGGAAAGCTTGGGCAAGGGCTGAAGGGTGATAGTCCCCGTGGCCCTGGGCGCCCCTCACCCTGGCATCCAGCCCCAGGGCAGCAAGAGGCAGGCAGGAAGCCCCCCTGAACCTTCTCCTGCCTCTGCAGACAGAGATGTACGAGGCCGACTACAGGACGGAGCACCGAGACCGCGAGCGCGTTGAGGCCGAGAACGAGCAGCTGCGGAGGAAGGAGCAGGAGATGCGGCAGCAGATGCTGCTCCTGCAGGAGCAGGTGAGCGGCCTCGTGCCGGGAACGCCGCCGCGGGGACACCCGGGTTCCTGCCAGCACCGCGTGCCCTCCCGTCACTCGGCTTCCCCGCAGCTGAAGATCTTCGAGGACGACTTCAGGAAGGAGCGATCGGACAAGCAGCTCCTGCAGCGCCTCCTGAAGAGCAAGTCTGGCCCCAGGGAGCCCGTGCTGGTCCATCGCTGCAACAGCCACGAGCAGCCCGGCGCTGCCCGGCGCGCGGAGAGGCYCGGCCGCAAGCCGGGCGCGTGCAGCGGCTGCGCCGACACTCGGCTCCAGGCCTTCGGCGGGGACTGCTAGGGAGGCGAGCGGAGCGGAGCCGAGCGCCTCGCGCGCCGCCACCTCCTGCGCCCGCTCCCGCCGGGGGCCGGACCCGCCTGGGCCTCCYGCTCGCCCACAGCCTCCAACAGCCCTCCCGGGAGACGCTGCCCGGGCCCAGCCCGGCACAGCGGGACTCGCTTCTCCTCCGTCATCTCTCTGCTTTCTCAGGGCCCAGACGCAAGAGCAGGTGTCCATCTTCTTGGCCTGGAGCACACCTTGTCTAACTCGCATTTTCCCTGAGGGAAGCCCAGGGTCTGGATGAAGGGTGCCGTGTGGGTGCCAGGGAAGGCTCTGCCACCCCTGGACTCTTGCTGCTCTGCTGCTCCCACGGGGGCAGTTCTCCTTCAAGCACCTGGAAGCTWTGGCTGTTCTGGCCCTAGGCTGGGACTGGGGCTCAAATTGAGATGTATTTATTTGTTAACCCTTTCTCCTGGCTTCCTGTCAAGCTAAGACTTTCCATAAGCAAATGAATAAAAAATAAAAATATATATTTTTTAGGAAGTGCCAAATGAACCAGCTGCCTTCTCTGCTTCCCAGGGGCCCGGAGGATGGAGGGGCAGGAACCCATCCCTTCCTCCATGAAGGAGRAGCGGCAGTTGGGGCACGTGAGGCCAAGAACCACCAAGGTGTCCCAGCTCGGGCCAGGCCTTGGAGCGCTCAGCATGGCCAGGGAGGCGCAGGAACGACTGCACAAGCGCTTCGGGGAGGGACAGGGTCCGCTCGGGGCAGGGAGGCGCTGCTGGGGGCAGCGGTGGCCAACAGGGCCACACGAGGAGGCCCCCAGCCCTGCCTGGAAGCGCTGGGGGCAGCGCCGGCTCGCTCCCAGCCTGGGGATAATGACTAATTCCTCCCATTACAGGGGCCAAACAGGGAATTCCTTCTCCCTCGTTGCTCCGGCCTTGCCCCGGGGAGCGGGGACGGCCCCCGCAGCCTCCAAGGAAGCTCCCGGCCGCAGCGGCCCTGGCGCAGGCAGCCCAGGCCCGGGCCAGCCCGGAGCCGGGAGCCGCAGCGGCCGCTCCGGGGGAGGCTGCGCCAGCCGGGATGTGGGGCTGCTCTTCCCCAGATCAAAGTAAATGCAACCCAAGCACCCCAAGAACGGGCACGTTCTGTTGTTCACTTGCTCTCCTGAGGCAAGGAACTGCATCTCACAGGGCTGGATCTCTCCCCTCCATGYAGTCATTAAACCAGGGGCCTTATTTTGGTGCCTCAGCACTCGACGCTAACACTGTGATCAGTGATTGTACAACACAGTAAAACCTACAGGGGACCTGGGCAATGCACCCTCCCACCCTCTCCTTGTGAKGGGTCTGATCTCCCAACGTTGGTGTCTTGATGTCCTGCCCCRTGTCCAGCTGGCTCCTTAGAACCTCTCCCAGCCCAGTCCACTGTCAAACACTGAGTTCAACTTCACCACAAAGCTCCCAAGCGAGGGGCGCACGGTGCCGCCGCAGCCAGGAAGGGTCAGGACAGCCCCGGCCTCACGAGGCAGAGCTCGTGCTCTGCAAACAAGACACGCTCTCCACACGCTCCTCTCCACAGCACGGAGCCTCAGCGCGTTAACCATGGAATGAAGGTGGTGCTTTGCCGTGGATGGCGCGTGCAGCACCTCGGGAGCRGAGCTCCGCAGGGCTCCGCGCCAGCTCCCACCCGGCATTCCCGGGGCAGCCTCGTGGGGACACAGGCTGGTGGCCATTGCCTCCGAGCTGGGCTCCCCGGCAAAGGGCGTCACTTGGTATCCTGGTATCAGCGGAGATAAGAAACAAAAAAAAACAGAGGGGTTATAAATGGAAACGCCCTCCCGGACAGGGAAAAACCCACTGCAGTYGGCCAAGCTGGTGTTCGGCAAACAGCAGTCGCGCTCCAGCCGCTCGCTCCGTTTCTGCCCCGGAGAAGTGAGGAAGCAGCAGGAGGACTTTACTCGGTTCCCTGGACACCGTCGGCTCCGTTGGAGCACTGTCCCATCAAGTCACAGCAAACAGATCCAAACAAAGACACCCAAAGTGTTTTTTCATCCATGCTTAGTCCAATTCAGGTAGCAGGAAACAGAAAAGGAAAACAGAAGTGATGAGCAAAGAGCCACAGACCTAAGCYGTGCAGCAGCCCTCATCAACTTGCTCACCAGAAGAGGATATGGAGAACTTAGAGCATCCACATGGCTGGTATGCAAAGATGGACACAGGCTTTGGGATGTGACCAGTCCAGCTCTTACTTAGGGTGACTTGTTTCTACAGTCAGCGGTGTGAAGTCCTAAAGAGAAGCGACAGACCTCCAAGATCTCATGGAGATCCTGCAGCCCTAGGAGTGGGGTAGAGGTGCGTGCGCTTTTACCYGGAGCCACAGCATCAGGTTTGGGGAGGATTTTTCTTCTCCTGTTTCTAACACAATATTATTTGGAGCTGCACAAGCTGAGCAAGCCTCATCGTGGCCTGGTTAGCCTGGGAACGCATCTTCCYGAGACCTTGATCCACAAAGCCTCCCTACTTCCAAAGGCCCGGAGAGCCTGGTTGCTGTTCCCAGGGAAGCGTCCTGAACAGCACAGCTGCACTGACCTCTGCTGGCAGCAAGCCCCCAAGCTCTAAAAAATAAATAAAATAACATCCTCAAAGTCTGCTTCGGGGAGACACAAACAACACAGCTCTGTCAAAAAGTGAGTGATCTCGGAATAAAACTATTGGCTTATTTTCACTGGCATAAGTTGGATCTCAATCAGACAGAAAAAAAAAAAAAAAAAAATCTTGTCCAGAAGAACCCTCTAAACATAGAGCCTTTAGGAATGTAAATTTGAAAAAAAAAAAAAAAAAAATCTTGTCCAGAAGAACCCTCTAAACATAGAGCCTTTAGGAATGTAAATTTGCAGCAATCCTGCAGCTCCCATCTCCCTTCTCCAGGCCTGGAGAAGCTGGGTTTTGTTCCTGTTTATCAACTATCAGATCATTCCTCCTTGGCAGTTTGTTGCCTGCTTCCCCTGCTTGTTTTTCATTTTATTTTATTTTTATTCTCTTTCTTAAAGCTATTTCACTTCACGTGCTAAAGAACCGATTCTCCAAGGAGTGAACGGCAGCTCCCGACATCCAGAGCAATCCCGCTAGCTRCTGTAACCATGGGAATATCCACCCCCATTTCCCACTCCCCTCCATCCTTCCTCCATCTACAGCTGTCTACCTGCAACCACGGGCTCTGCAGCAGCTCCCGAACCCCACGCTGGAACCGCAGCCTCCGGTGACCACAAGCACCCACGAAGCTGAAATTCCAGAGGCTCGGATAACACGTGGATCTGCAGGAGAACCATTCATCCTCCTGCTTCTCTGAGCAGCACGGAGGTCAGGGTTTGCCCAAAAAAAACACAATCCAAAATCCCACAAAACCCTAACGTTTCTCTCGCCTGGAGGGCGAGCAGAGCCTGCCCTCGCCGAGGCAGCGGGAGCACCCTCGAGAGGAAACAGTCGGTTGCATCTTGACTCGTTCCAGCCGGACACCAAAGCTGACCCTGCCGTGGGTGGGTGAGATTCACTCTTCCCGTTCCCGAACGGGCACCGTCCTCCACACCTCCCAGCACGAAGGCTTCAGCAGCTCCCGGCCATTCACCAGCTCTCCTGAAACTCAGACGTTTGAATTTCTCATAGGAAGCCTGGCAACAGWCGCACTCCCCCAGGGCCGCCGACTTCATTCTCATTGAAAAAAACACCTAGCCTTACATATTACAAATACATCTGCTGAGTAGGTGGTGCAAGACATGGGTGTTTAATATTGTAAAGATTCAGAATCCAAGAAAGATCTTGTGCAAAACCCAGCTGAGCTCTCCAGCAGACACTTTAGCCTTCAGGTTTCAAAAAACAGATTAACCCTTTCAGACTCTTTTCCTACCCCCGATACGTGTGTATGCACAAATACAGGGAGAGGCTCGATTTGGAGAATGCAGAGTGGAAAGCCAGGCTCAGGTTCAGATTTACCACACATACTTTTTTGGTGGGTTTTTTTTTTTTTTTTTTTGTATACGTAGAATTTGATGGAACAAGAGGAGGAAAAAAAAAAGGAAAAAGGATGCTTTGACAAGCATCAACTCCCATCCACCAAGTCAGAGAGATTCCCCTAACTCATAGCGCTTTTGTTGTTCCTATGTTTAATAGAAATGCATACACACAGAAAAAAAAAATCACTAAAAATAGACGGTAATGTCAAGTCAGATTGCTGTCCAACACTGTCCAACCGGCTCTTTGCAAACATAGCTAATGTAGCTCATGCACACACAGCCCAAACCCACCACGTTCTACAATTCCTACCTGCCCACGTCAGCACATCCTGGCTTGCCARGACGGAGACCGGGGGCACCCGGACTATCCCACTGCTTGGAAAAAGCAGCCTTTGGCTCCTTCCATTTACTCCAAGCTTTTCAGTACCTTGACAAGTGGAGAGAGACCAACGTTGCCCCGACTGCTTTGCCTCTTATGTGAATTTTGACTCAACATGAAGAGCTCTCAAATGAAAATCTGGCATGACCTTCAGTCAATCCCCTCCCAAACAAGTAGCGTGTAAGAAAAGCAGCCATTAAACATCTGCTCGCCAGACTTCAGAAAGATCCTGATTTTCAGAAGAAAGAAAGCCCACTTTCCAAAGCGCTAAGATCCAAAATCCCTGGTAGCAAAAATTTATTTTCATGACTGAAGACAAGGAGAAATTTATAAATGTATTCTAGCAACCTACCGATAAAATAGTAAATATTCCATCCCTGTGATTTGTATGATCACCTGGGAGCAGAACATCCAAAAAGGCTCTGCCATGTGCTACTATGACAACCAGGAGTATGAGACCATGTGCACGTCACCTGTCCTTGCTTCTTCCCAACCCCACGTATGCCAGGTAGTCTCTTCTGAAGGTCTGCAGTGTATCCAGACATCATCGGAGCGACTAGTGTCCAACGTTAAAAGGAGAAAAAATAAAGATTGCGGTGGTAAGCGGCACACTCATTTCAAAGCCCACAAAGACATCCACATTGTTAGATTCTCCTAAAAAAGAAAAAGTAGTTCCAATTCCGTTTTTCTCCCCCCGGAGAGCATGTGCCTTGGCCAATGTTCAGCGCATGAGCAGACTGTGCTTTGGTCCATCCACTCTCTCCAGCTTCTCAAAGTGTTTTCTGGCGTTGCGGATGTTGATCAGTGTTGCTGCAGAGGCTGGGATGGAGAAGGGCAAGGGAAGTGGGGGGATAAAAAAGAAATGTTGASAGAGGTAACAAAGTTATCTGATTTAAGTGCTGCTTAAGATCAGTTATTTTGTATCCTATCAGCAGGACTGAACCAAAAGGCCTCAGGGAGCTTGGGTTCACGTTTCCACTCTAACCTCTGCATGACAACTACAGCAGGAAACGTGACTCCGTTCACAGACACACAACTGTTCTACAGCTTTTATTTTCACCGATTAGCACTAAGTTTGACTTAGACCTAGTAAAATAACATAGTAGGAAGCAGGCTCTCCTGCCCAAGAGGCATGCTGCTCCGAGAGTACCAGTGTCCACATCTGCAAGCTCTCCTACGTTGACCCTGCTGTTCTCTAGCTGTGCGATATCTAACACTAAGAGGTCTGGGTTCTGATTCAAATCAGGTCACTTCAGCAGTTCTCCACCACGGGTGCAACCCTCCAGCAGGCAGCAGCAGCAGACAGCTCAGTTGTCAAAGGCACACAGCTCTTCTCTTTGAAAGCTAAGTCTCTTTCTAACATCTTCTCACCCCTAGCTCACAGCAACCTGGCAGGACAATGGATCCATTTATATCTTTGAATTCCACCTTTTTATTTATTTATTTTTAAAAATTGTTTGTGTCTGGTGTTCATCATTTTCAACAGAGACACGTTTTAAACTAGACTCATCCAGCCTTTCATTCCTGTGAACAAAAACAAGCCAGAGGCTTCTCCTTGCTTCAACTTACGTATTGAAGGGTCTGACATAACCACCATCACGTATGTATTCGACGTAAAGATGTCAATGAAAGCAGCAAAGTTAGAGTTCCTGACCTCCATGCTCTGGAAGGAAGCAGCCAGCTTACTGAGGATTGGCAGGGGAAGAAGGAAAGAAAAAAGAAAAAAGTATGAACGAACTGCTTCCATAATCTTGCTTCCCCTCTGCAGCCATTTCATCATTAATGAAACTTAATGTGTTGTTAATGAAGAGGTAATGCTTGCCAGGTGGAGACCACCACCAATTGAGATTTAAGACTAACACTTTAGCTTTAGGCTTGAATCTTGATTGATTCAATCAGAACAATATAAAGTGATCTGACTTCTGAATGACTAAGGTCATTACTCAAGACACAACCTCAGGGCCTGTTGGAGCCTCCTACGTCCARGCAGCCTCGTCCCTTTTCCAGGGGGGACGCAACAGCCCACCAGTTATTTGGACGGACAGTTTTACACTCTGTGGATAGCTGATAGAAGGAAGTATAAAGCAGAAAACCCTGGAGGCAGCTTGTAAGCCATGGAGCCACTTCTCCACCCCACTCAGCCTCTGAACACTTCCAGGGACAACTGACAGGCTGTTGAACCCGAAGACTGAACTTTCTATTTTCTTTTGAAAATAGTAGCAATGAACTTCTGCAAGCTTCTTCCTCCCAGACCAACAAGGTCTAAAGTAAAAACTCTTAMTCTGAATTTACAGAACATTTAACTGTGAGCAAGGTATCTGTTCATTCCCAGAACTTCCCTACCTTGCCCAGGAGGGCAAGGCCTGGAGAGAAACAGCTGCTTCAAAACAAACCTCTTTCACCGAGCAGCAAAGGAGGAAGTTATGAAAGATGCACGATGCTCATGTTTAAACACAGTGCTTTCCAGACAGCACTTYAACTCAGACATCTCCTTAGCTTGCTGAGAAGCCAGGCGACTTTTATTCCTTCTAAAGCAAGAAGGCTTGCCMAAGGAAAGAAGAACACACCTGGTATCAGCTCAGGTATCTTACTCAACTAGTGACCAAACCAGCTCACCTGCAACTCAATTTGAATTGTTTAATAATGTTGCTGATTTTCTCAAATCTGTGGATATCCCGCTGTTCTTTGCACTGATAGTGAGAAATGACCTGGAAAACAGAACAAGAGACAACAGCTTTAGCAATTCGTTTCAGCACTGGCTTCTCAGGCTCGATAGCAACTATGGGAAATGGGTTGTGACCGGCACAGGAATTCCCTTTGCCTTYTGCTGACTGAATCTTGGAAACTATTTAAAACAATATTCACGATCATTCCACAGTAAAATGATATTCAATAATATAGTACCTGCAAAGCCTTTCACAAGCACAAACACATGTAAATATGTGAGGAACATAAGAGGCATTATATCCAATTTGAGGACTGTCTRTTTCAACTTACCAGCCATTCAAGCCTTGATTCCAAGAGCAATAAAAGCACAATGAAAGGGGATAGTTTAAAGAATCACCTCAGGTGAGGGAAAAGAGATACCTGACAACTGCTAAAATAGACTTTTCTTGGTAAGTCTATCATGCTGCAGATTCCCAAGGACTGAAACCTGAGAAATTTGTCATTGTGCAGCACGAAGGATGCCCAGGCAAACCTGGATGCTCTCGGAAACCGGAGCGAGCTGCTCAGCCTCCTGATTACGAGCAGCAGAGCCAGGGAAGGCTGGTTTCCCAGGCAGCTCCTTCCACCACTTAACTGAGTCACACCAAGACTGTGCTAAGTTGTCTGCACAGACGTCGGCTCCCCTCCTTGTCAGCTGACAGAGGGATCTGGCAGCAACACTGTAAAAAATCCAAAGGATCAAAAATTATTAACAGGGATGTTTGGAAAAAAGAGAAAAAGTGATCCATACCTATCTCTCCCTTCTCCCTGACCATTTTCATGAGGCTGGTACCCTACAGACCTTCACTCTTCAGCCAAATTTGCCAGTGGGCCAAGAACTGTATTTACTGTACAAGAAGAATTGCTCATCAAGTAATTGCATCATCTTGGACCCCCCAGACCACCTTCCCCCCCAAAAAAGTATCATGAAAACATCCGTTACCAGAAGTGTCATAGACCCTTGTATACAAATATTMAAATATTAGTTTTCTACCTATGGAATTACTTTTAACAGGCTGATAGTAACTAAGACTCTCTCATGCATCTTAAAAAAAAAAAAAAAAATCTATTCTCTAGTTTTAAATCTGCCCAGTTATTCATAGAAGTACAAAAGCACAAGATGAGCCAGATTCAAGGATTATATTCCAAAGCCTTCTCTGTATGCAAGTTCATTTCTTAACTCCCCAGATAGCTTTTTCTGTTACTGCAATTTGAATATAGATGCAGAATAAGACTTTTCACTTCRGGAAAAAGGAGTTCTTAGGGAAGTTTAAATATATGTATATATTACATAAGAGAAAAATCTTCTAAAAATCACCACTAAGTTGAAAATAAGTACAGATTTTTCTGTTGAAAATATTATACCTTCCCAGTGATAAATACAATTATGATTATTAATACTTCCATTTTGGTGGCATGCATCACATACAAAAGGCCAAAAAGTAGAGCTTGCTAGAAATGATGGGWGCCTACTTTTGATATCTTAAATAGTGAGAAAAGTAATGTCTCCTTTCCTTATATACTCCGTTTCAGTGTTAGGTATTTGTTTAGGAGAAAGACCCCAAAAAATTCAAAACCTTTTCCTCATTTCAACAAAAGTTGGGGCAGGATGCCTGCAGAAACCAATCTGGAAACTAAGAGTAGGGACAGATGAGCCACAGTGGTTTTAATATATTTTCCTTTGCAGACACAAGGATTAGAGGCACAGCTACCACACAAAGCTAGTAACTTTGGAAGCYACAGCAGTCCAGCAGCTCACAGTCCTCTGTCCATACTCCAGGTTTGTTTTCCCCTTGACAAAAAAAGGGGAATCAAGACTAGTTAAAATGGCACTCCATGAGGAACYGAAAAGAATTTTTTTTTTCTGAGCTAAAAGTGGTTCTTGCCAAGTACAGAAAGGAATGCCCAGAAAAGTCCATTGGCCACCATGAGAATGGAGATATGAAACCCTGCTAGAGCCCTTAGCTCAACCGCTGCAAGTGGACATTTTAGGAAAGTCACATCAACTACTTTCAGTATCACAAGGCCTGGATCAAGATGTTCTGCCATGTGGTGCTGGCACCTCTCTTTGGGCTACGGCCAAAACAGCACTTTCCATCCAGGGAACTCCATCCTAGGCTGGGCAGAAGGACACGAAGGGCAGAACAGCTGTATTCACCAGGAAAGTGGCTCTCTCAAACAGAAGCACTTCGTCTGCCTCGATGATCTGAGCAAAGTTCCTCAGGTTCATTTCCAGCTGCTGGACATTGGGGATCAGCTGATAGACTATACTGGACCAGGCCTGTCAATCAAGAAAGACACAACATCAAGGCTGTATTAGCACCTTTGCCTCATCCTCTTGCTATGCTAAGTACTCAAGAGCTGCCTACTCACAGCTGCTGGTTTCTTTTTTAGCCTAGGCAGGACTGAGAAGCTTCTTCCACATCAGATTGCTCTGCTATGGTAGAGACTTTCAGTGGCATCCCAGGCCTGTTTTCCTGCACAAACTCTTAACTAGGTCAAGCTTTTCTCCACATCAGTCACACAGGAACTAAAACATTGCAAGACACACTTAAAATCATTCTCAGATTGAGCTGGCAATGCTTCTATTCACTGCTCCCAGGTAAACCCACTCAAGTGTCTCCCTCTTGAAGAAGGTCACTGAGCAGAGAGATACCTGACAGCTCGTAACAGATCCAATTAGAAAGCGCTAATCTACTTAGTCAGGAACTACCAGCTCGGGAGGAACTGGATGTGCTGTAACAGGCATCTGTCCTCACTCACACTCAGGTTCTCCACCTGCAGTGACTTCATCTCACTGCCTACCTTCCGAACCAGGGCAGCAAAGTTCTACTGTGTGCTTCACTCCAGGAGTCACAGTGAGCATTTTTTTCTCACGTTTGCCAAGTATTTAATGTTTTTAATGAAAGAATCCTACCATCTCACCTGCAAAATGCAGAATTAGACCCAACCCAATGGCACAAGCTCTAAAGAGCTCTGACAGTGGCACCTGGAATCGCATAAGGCTGCCTCCATACAAGAAACCCAAATAAAGTAACCAGCATCACTGGGCAGCTTCAGGGGTTCCTGTAAGAAGACTGGCTTTGCCACTGCTTTTAGGGGTCACTAGTCACCTAGAGGGAATAGGGTACATGCTTCAGGCAGAGCAATGCCCAGCCTAAATTCTAGGTACCAGCTTCATTGAAGCTCATCATATATGGAAGGCAGGGGAATTTGCTACGCTTTTGGCTGGATTATTCAAGATGCTGAACACCATCATCTGAAGACTCTCTGAAATCGGCAGAAAGAGCCAGATGGTCACCACCTTCAGACAGCAACTTAACTATTATGCTGCTGCTGCTTATTAGCACTAATTGGCAATTTGATCACTTTCCCTCAGTGGAGCCCAGGTGGCAATCTCCACTCCTGCACCAGAAGGATCTGACACAGCAGTCACAAGTGACAGAAAGTAAGAAAAAAATCTTGACAAGAAGCAAATCCCCAGGATGTTAAATGCTTACAGACTTTAACAAACTTGTAGAGAAAAACAGGAAGCAACTCCGTGCTGGCTAGACATGACTAAAGGATGCAGAAGCTCCTTCTGAAGTGGCTAGGCAGTGTCTAGACTGCACTAACCAGTGACACCATTAACCACGACACTAACATGGTGACAGATTTTCTTTCTTTTACTGAAATCAGGATTTGGGGATACAAGTCTAGCAGGGCTAGAAAGGGTCAGTCACTAATAGGCCTGTAGCAGCTAACCACACCCCTGGCTCATGCCCTGGTTTTCAAGTGAGGGGGGCCGTTAGGGAGAGGACGGACACTGTACAGACCTTGTAAAGTGTTTCATCCCAGATGGAAGTTCTAAAACAAGCACATTCCAAGGGGCGAGAAAGGCGCCTTAGGTCTTCTTCCCGCTCTTTAAAAATCTGGTAGAAGAAAAGAAAATACCATCTGACTATAAATATTTATGCTTTTGGTACATTTCTGTATCATGTTTGCAGCAGGAACTGTGCATTTCAGAATTAAATAAAGTGCTAGGGCACATACAGGAAAAGAGGCAGCAGCAGCAACCACGAGCTAGGACAGAGTGCCAGAACTCCACCCCTCCAGGCAGCAGGGACAAGCAAACCACGGCTTGTCTTGCAATAGTGCTGACAGGAATTTGGGTGTCACGAGCAGGAACGGAGACAGGAAGGAGGAGTTTCCACAGAGGACCTGAACTGTGACAATTATGTATATTTAATAATCCCAACATGGGGAATCTGAAGTCCCTGTTCACAGGAAAAAAAAAAAAAAAAAAAAAAAAACTTGTCAATGAGAACAAGTGAGGAGAAAAGCACTAGAGAAGTCCATCACTGTAGGATCTGATTGCATAATAACGGTGTTGCAAGGCACGTACTTTGATACAGCCCTCTCGGAGCAAACTCTGCCCTTGGGAGTCACAAGTCTCAAGCRAAAAAGGGAAGACAGCACATGCCCCTCCAGAACTGGTAAAGGAGACATCAACGTCCCCTCTGCTGAAGATGTGACCCCAGTTTTGATCACAGCTGAGTGTCTTTAGGGGCATGAGAGAACATAATTCTGTTATGTCTGATATGCTGCATAGGTCACAATCTGAGGCCTCAGATGCCAAAATGTTCAGCAGGATTTGTGGGGACAATTGTTTAGCCCAATCCAAGGGTGTTTGCTGGATGTTCTAAGTAGCAGACACCAYGAAGCAGATCCTGATGGGTCTGCAGTGGTATGTGCTGAAGGAATATGCAGAGCCAGGCAGCTCTTCTGTCTACCCCCATTGCAGAGCCTCACTGGAATCTACACAAGTGAGTGCACAGGACAGTGCAAGGTTTTAATCTGGAGCCTCAAGGAGACTGAAACTCCTCAGCTTAGAGGGAAGAGATACAAAAAAAAGTAAAAGTTTCTCCAATTTGCCCTACAAGGAAGTTCTTTGATCTGTTTTTTTTCCTGCTGAGCTGGAGGGCAGAACCAAAAGAGAAAGTGGGGATCACCTTACTCAGAGTGATCACACGTGATCTGAGCCAAACTGCCATGGAATGAGCMTGTCTGCACAGGGAGTCCAATCAGTCAGAGATGCACTTGTCAAACAGAGGTGTCTAAGCCACAGAATTAATTTCCCCTTTGGTATCAGGAGTTGGTTGCTTGTCAGAGCTGAAAAATGAGTTTGGTAGAAATTCAGCATCCACCAGGCTCCCTTCATCCAAGTCTCCCTTCAAGCCTTTCAAAGGCTCTGCACACCAAATGCTSCTGGAAGGTTGATTCCCAGGAACTTTCCAGGATTCACACTGAGCCCTTAGGGCAGGGAAGTGTTAAATTAAGAGGTGATCTCTGGGCAAGGCCAAACAAAATGCATTGCAACAGAAACCAGGAGTCAAACAATGCAAGGCACTTTCCAATAAACATGGAAAGTGGCAATCTTTTGTCACACTTTATAAGAAGATCTAGACTGAAAGCATCASTTAAGAAGAAGTTGATTCTCATTGTCAAAGTCCTTGAAGACACTCAAGAGTCCATACATCAGTTTGTTTGTAGAATTGCAAGAAATGCAGCCTGCTTTTCCTGCCCTCTGCAGCCGAGGTCTGGCCAAAATGTTAGAACTAATGCTATCAAAAATAAGGCTTAGACTAGTTCCTAAACGTAAGTTCTCTTCCCTACTACATTATACACAGATAAGCAGTGACATGAAGTTTACAAAAAGCAGAAGCAAAAAAAAAAAAAAACCTCAGGCTTTGAGAATTTCTTAACATATGAGAAACTGCTCTATAAAGGGTGCTGCTGGGGCTGTGCTTGAGGTACGAAACAGCCGCGCTTCAGCACAATCACAAAACGCTCTATTTCTTTGACAGAATTTCTATGGCAACTCTCAGCTTCTCACCAAATCCCGCTGATCCTCCTGCACCAAGTCCATCTTGTGCACGAGGCAGAAGATCTTGGCATCGGGGGAGTTCTGCAGGATGGCCTCCAAGCACGACTGGTAGTAGTGCATGTCCTTCTCCAGCTCGCGGCTCTCCACGTCGAACACGTAGATGAGCACTTCCACGTTGCGGAAGATGTTGTCTCGCTGGCTGGTGAAGTAGTTCTCCATGAAGGTGTCCTGCCTGAGAGGGGCCAGAGCAGCAAAGCAAAGAGACTTCCATGAGAACAGCCAGGCCTTGCTTAGCACAGCCAAAGAGCGTTCTGTGGAAAATTCCCCACGCTGGAAAGGCAGAGAGAGGCTTTACATTCTTAGCTGAAGTCTCCATCACAAAAGACTACAAAAAGAGCTCCAYGGATGGCTAAACTGAATGCCTAGGCATTCAAAAATAGATGCTCCTGAAGATGAAGGGGGATCTCTGCTTCTCTGTCTCTCACAAGCAGCTTTTAGGCATCAAAGCGGGCGCTCCGGGCTAGCCTGGGCAACAGCCTGTGTAGATGGAGCCACGGAGCTTCCCCACCCTCACTGGCTTTTAGGGAATTACATATGGAAAAGCCACAGCAGCAGCAGATACAATAATGATTTAGGACAAATTTTATCTTGCTCTTACAGGACCTACACCTATTTTAACTTTTACTGAGTGTGGCTTGGGCAAGTGTGTGGTCTTTGTATCTGAGGCAGTTTAGCAAGTCCAAGAGCTCTGCTGAGGCTCCGCCAGCRGGACAGTCCGTTCCCTGGAAAGCTGCTTGCGAGGAACCACGGGATCACCAGCCTCTAACATCACTCCTCAGGGTGGGTCTGTCTTTCCACATCAAAGGAGCAGCACCTAGCTCAAAAGGCAGCTATAATCAGGCCAATCTCTCCCACCCACATCCACACAGGAGTCTAAGATGTGGCATCCAGCTTCTCCAGAGCTGCCTCACCAGTTTTACAGTGCATCACATACAGTGTGTTCACAAAAAAATGTACTAGCCCCATAAAGTCGGGAGGCTCCCTGCTCTCCTACACCTCCTCCTCAGCCACCAGATCTAGCCCCAAAGGTTTCAAAAGCGAAAGCATGGACAGTACCTACCCTCCACAGTCCCACAGGTTTAACACCAGGTTTCCTAGAAATCTAACATGGGAGTGTTCCACATCAACTGCAAAGAGACAACAGGAGTTTACTACATGTGCCACTCACCAGGTACAGCCAGAGCAGACAGCTGCCTCCTCAGGCAGCCAGAAATGTCATTCTTCACAACAGAACTGACAATGGATAAAATTCCATCTAAACAGCATTGCTGCATATAAACCTGAAGCTGAGCAGGCTACGGGTAAGTACAGATGCCAGCTCAAGTCTTCCCACTGCTTAACTGTTCTCCTGAGAAACACAGTAGGTGTGTCCCCTTTAACAACACACTCCCCAATGTATGGGATATTTTAAGAACGATACCAGTACCAGCACATTCTGCAAGGCTTTAAGCCTTAAATAGTCATTTTTTTTTTCTGAAAGGCCTAATACATGACAAAGAGGAAATATCACCAAGGACAGATCAATCCGTGACATTAAGTCCTCACAGGGGTTTCCCCATGCCCACCATTAGAATCCCCATGGATTCAATACACTTTTTTCACCTTCCCCCCGCCTCCACATCTTTTTTTTTCACTTTGGGAAGAAACACAAAAGCCCTCCGTCACCAACAGGGCCTAGAGCATCATCCTGCCAGCCCATGGGTGTTCACGACAAGGCCACTGTGTCCCCCTAAATGCGTTGGTGAGCAGCAAGTCACCAGTGGGAAGGCTTCTCTAATGAGAATGACTGCGAGAAGACCCCGTCCGCTTCTCCTACAACAAGGGTAGCAGCAAAGGCTGCTTCCTGATCTTTAAGTCGTCTCTCCCTGCTAATGACCAGAGTTTAAGCCCTAACACTTTCCAATTCAAGTGACAGAAATCTTACTTGTGGCACCCAGGCGCCGCGTGTCCCTGGCAATGTAGTTTGCAAAGATGATGGACCTCATGCTGGTCTTCCCAGACCCACTTTTACCCATCAGCAGCACCTGGAAAAAAGAGGAAGAAACAATTGGCTACCATAGAACACCAGGTTCTCCAGGCCTCCCTTGGGCTCAGGATGTTACTGATGGAACAACTGAAAGATGGGATGTGAATGCCTCAGAAGCCAGCAGCAGAGTGCTGCACCTGGAAAACTAGGAGATGGGAAGGTGGATGTTGTTTGCTGCTTGCTAAGTGTGGTCACTGAATCACAGGTGAAAGGCTAAAAACTTATTAATCTCTTTGGCATCCTGAAAAGATGCCCCCTCTTTCCTCCTCTTTCAGGAATCTCTCCCTGCCAGACACTATGTGCTGGTTCTAGGACTGACAACAGCCCAAGGAAAGCTCAGCCTGCCCACAGGCACCAGCAGCCACAGYCCCTTTCCCCCAGCACAGGCTGCCCCAGGGCTCTCTGCTAGACCCCAGCGCTGGTGACAAGCCCGGCTTGCTCCCAGGACCACCCTTGGTCTCTCCTTTCCCTCATTGCTGGGTGTTTTCTGAAGGCAGGGGCACCAAGGTGAAAACGTGGTGAGTTTCTGGCAAGAGCAGAGGGCTTGAGCAAAACAGAGMGGTTTTATCTTGAGTCCTTAGATCCAGACTGAAAACAACTGCTTGCCCATTCAGCACCTTCTGCCCTGCTGTCCTCCCCCCGCTGCTTCTCTTCTAAGCTTGCTCTTTTCCTTCTTACAACACAGCTTGGTTTCTCTTCCCTGGCAGAAGTGAAATACAAGCCCCACTTTGAGTTTCGTGAGCGTCAAAGGAGTAGGAAGAAATTAAAAGCAGATGTGGCAACCCAGCTCCAGCCTACCAGCCTCTTTATTCTGTAGGGGACACAGACTTGATCCCAGTATGCTACTGGCAGACCATCRCACCGAAGGCCACAACTTTATAGTTAAGGAGGAAGCAGAAAAACCAGGGAAGAGGGGGGACCACCAATCACACACATGGAAAGCCTCTACGTGGTGACTTACAAAGTGTTTGACAGCCAACGCGGACCTGTTCCCMATAGCAGCTGTTAAACAAGTTCCAGCTACAAAGTCAAACTCRGTCTTTGGCAACAGCTCTGCAAACCCATCGTGAAGAGCAGCCTAACAAGAGCGCGGCCGGGCCGAGCGCGCCCACCCAGCATGACACTCGTGGTGGCCGCAGTGCTCGCTCGGCTCCCGATGCGCTCCGGGCTCGCGCAACAGCCAGCACCGCAGCCCGGGAGCTGGATGGGACAGGCAGGACCAGCCCCTGCTGCTCACAGGAGTCACCTCTCCAGGAGCGACCGCAACGTTTCACATTGGTAAATCCTCTTCTGAGCCAAGCTGACCACATAGTTAAGGCCCAAGTGATGGAGTCTCCCACTGTCGGTTCAGAAGTGCCAGGAAGAGCAGGCACTGGAAGATTTCCAACAAGGACTCTTGTCTTCAAGAAGCAGGTAACACCTACCACCTTTTCTCTGAATGCTGCCTTGCTTTTATCCCCCTTTCCTGCACACAGAGCAGCCCTTCGCCCAAATCAGCATCTCCTCTAATTTCACACACCTGCAGAAACTCAATATGGCTCCAGGAGCACAAGCCAGTCTAAAGCCAATCTYATCCCTAAAGTTTAGGGTGTGTTGGACGTTCACCGAGGTCAGGAAGCAGCAGCGGGGGCCAGGGAGGAACGGCAGCCCGGGCACGGGGCAGCCACAGTCACGTCCTCATTGCAGAGCCGCCTGGACAACTCCGAACACGCCGGCTGCAACACGCCCAGCCCCGGGCGGGATTAAGGGCTCTGCTTCTGCACCGAGCGCCCCGCTCCAGCCTCCCGGGAGCCCTCGAGAGCTTCCCGKGCGAGTGCAGGGCCTGGGCACAGGCCAAAGGCGCCGCTGCGGGCTCGTCGCGAGGCACGCGGAGGCTCGGGCACGTTCGGGCACCGTGCACCAGGTGTATTCCCGTGGCAGCCACGGACACGGGCCTGCTGTGCCCGCGCGCTCTCCTTAGCGATAAACCCCAGCTCGCCTTTGAGTTCCAGCCTTCTAAGTGAAGAAAKGTCCCTATCAACTGCACGAGGGCCCGGGGAGGGACCTCACAGRGAGGGACGCGCCGAGACGCGGGCACAAATGCGGGACGACGCGGGGGAAGGGGCCGGGAAAGAGCCCCCGCCTCGGCCCTTACCTTCTTCTTCATGGCTGTGCTCGGCATCACCCACCTGCGGGGACAAGAGCGCCTGGTTAGGGCCTCCGCGGGGCTCGGGGAGGCCTCGCGGGACCCTCCCCGCCGCGGCCCACCCGTGACCAACGGGCACACGCCGCCCCCCACCGCTACCTCCGGCGGCGAGAGGCGCCTCGGGGCCGGCGCGGCGCTGCCCGCGGGCGGCAGCCGGTGTCCGCTCGCTSCGGGCTCGGCCTCGTGCGCGGCCGCCGCGGCCCCGGGACCCCCCGGCCCGGCCCGGCCCGCCCCCCTCCCCGCAGCGGCGCTCACGAGACCCAGCGCTCGGGCGGCAGCCGCCGGTCACGTGAGCGCTCACCCCGCCCTCGCCCTCGCCGCCGTCACGTGACGCGAGGGGACGGGGCGGGCGGCTCCGCGAGGGGGAAGGGGGAGGGAGGAGGTGCTGGTGAAGCGCTGGCCGCCATCTTCAGTGCGGGCAAACTGCCCCTCGCCGGGTGTTTAGGGAGGCGGCGGGGGAAAGGCGGTCCCGAGCGCCGCCCGGAGAGGCGGAGACCGCATGATGTCCCGCGGCAGCGACCCTGGGGACCTTGAGGGCGTGGGGGGAGCTGGGCCACGGCCGTCACGAAAGTGTTCCGCGTGGCACGGCGGCCGCAGACAGGCGATATCAGGCGCGCGGAGGAAGTACCTCTCAGCGCCTCCCATATGGTCTAGCGGTTAGGATTCCTGGTTTTCACCCAGGCGGCCCGGGTTCGACTCCCGGTATGGGAAGTTCAGTTTTTCTCTCTCCGCCCCCCCGCCCCCTTCTTTCGTCCCGTCCAGGGGGAAGGTGGTTCCTATTTGTTTAAAAGYCTCTGCCTGTTGTTCGAAACGGGTGCGACCCTAGGAGGAAAAATCTGCTAATTTGTAATAATCAACCATATTAATAATAYGGTTGTAATAATCAACCTGGAGCTTACAGGACTTGTCATCTACGAAGAGAATCTCCTCACTTAAGCTAGGTGTCTCAGCCAACGTTTTAAGAAACACCAAGATGCTCCAGCAGGGAGGCAGGACAGATAGGGCTTTCTCCTCGCACCACGCTGAAGGGCCTTTCGGGACGTTTCTCTGACAAATTCCTAGTTAGTACTGACTCCGGACCCTCCCCAGAGGCTCTTCTTGCTTCCCCTTCTCCTCCTCGTAGCGGTGCAGGCCGCTTGCCCGAGGCAGGAATGCCGGCTCGGACGCCTCTCCGCCTCCGGCGGTGACGAAGAGCGCTCCCATCCCCGAGGCCCCACACGAACTTTCCCCCTTCCCCGGCGCGGGCYCACAGCCCCTCAGCGCCGCCTCGCGCCCGCCCGCCGCCATGTCAGGCCGCGCGCGCCGCAGTGCGCAGGCGCGGGGCGGGCCCGCCTGCGACAAGATGGCGGCGGCGATGGCGGCAAGAGGCGCGGGGTGGCAGTGCGGCCTCAGAGCGGCTGCCCGGTGCGCTCCCTAAGCTAAAATAAAGCAGCAGGGTCCTTCCCCCATTTTCACTCCCGACCCCATTCCCCTAATCTCCCTCGTGGCCTGTTGCTACCAGCCAACTTACTGATACACAGCCCTAAGAAAGGCGATTCCCYCAGGCCCGAGGGGAAGGAGCCTTTGCTTCACACAAAACTAACCTTTTCTCGGCCAGCTTCTTGCTTTCCTATTTACAATTCTTGTATAACTGATTTGGTGGACTGTCCACATCATCCACATGGATGTTAGATCACRCCCAGGACAGGAATTTTAAAGCTGCAAGAGAATGACACCAAGGAGAGAAGAGCAAGATAATAAAAAGAGGTTTCACAGGATTTAGTCTTCGCAGCACATGCTACCTCAGTGCCATGAACTTGCTTTAAAACATCAGTAACACATTTTTCTTCTCAGTAGTACTCCAGCAAGGGGGATACAGTTGATCTCARGAATGTCTGTTCACAGAACACCACAAATAGGATGATAAGCAACAAATCCAGACAAGCAGTTGTTCACTCTGATCCTTTGGCACTCACTACTTTCAGTCTCTGATGCAAAGATGTCTTCACAGCCTACWGGGAGGGCTCCCCAGCAACTCCTGCAAGCACATTATAGAGATTTAAAAAGATTTTTTTTTTTTAGCAGTCCCTATTGCAAAGTTAATACAAACTCTTGTAAGCAAATTGATTTGCACCGAAACTACTGACCTGTTCATACTGTCTCAAAGCAGGTTGGTATTAACACCGGCTCATTCCAAAGGGAATAAGGCATCTAATTACTTTTGAGGCCCTGTGCTTATGCGATTTCAGAAAGAAACAGCCAGTCCTTCCTCCCTGTCCCCCTCAAAAAAAAAAAAACCAAACAAAAAAACCCCACACAACTCAAGGACATTGATATATTTTGCCAAAAGAACAGGGAGGGAGATAAGCGTGTGCTGTGTGTAGCACTCAGAGATCCAACCTCTAGGTCAATAATAAAACTCTAAAGTAGATTAGCTCAGTGAGGTAGCTTTTTTCGTACCACAATGAAAAATTCAGTAAACTGCAGTATTACCAAAAGCCTTTCAGTACACTGAGAAAGGAATTTTAAAACATGACAGACAATGCAACTAGAAAGAATATTGTGCACAGAGAACTGACCAGTGATACTTCGGGACAACTTGTACGACTGCTGATTGTGAAGCCTGTTTTCAGAGCGCAAGTTCTTATTTCTTATCAGACTTATCACTGCTTATGGAATTCTGGACACCTTGGTAACGCTAGTTTTGGAAAGATGAGCCTGGAATACGAAAGAGAAATGTAAATTGAAGCTACTTGAAATTCAGCTGTTCCAACAATTTTTTAGATTCATTGCTTATTTAAGTGCACGTGTTCTGGGATGCTGCACACTTTATTTTCCCTGAAGCCTGATAGAAGAATGAATTGCTTATTAAAGGAACATACAGCACGATTGCCCTGGACTATAAAGTATTGGTGTTCAGCCACTGTACGGCTAAGGCACTAGCATCCCTGCTAACAACGCCTGTCAAAGCAGCATGACAAAGCAGGTCATAATTCTGAAATGAGAAATAAAGGAGCCTGCTTTGCAGTCACAAGTAGAAAAACAGCATTCTCACTAACAACATGCTATACAGCTGTACACAAAGGAATTGGACACCTATTAAATGATCTATTTTGAAGATGGAAATAGACACGTAAATGCACAATTTTAATCAAGGGCCTGTGATGTACCAGAGATTTGGCTTATCTTTAGGTTTGTTGGATACAGTTTTGCATGGATAGGCTGTTCCATCTTCTTTATTTGGCAGTTACCAGATACTCTATGAGCAAGCAAAGGCAAAATATTCAAAACAAATTTAAACAGATTTGAGATAGTCTGATAGGATTAGACTGATCTCCTCCACATCAGTTTTGAAATGCACATTTTTAAATGTGTGTAGTTCTATGAGGATATACATTCTTGAGAGACTAATAATAGATGGGGCTTGTAAAATAAGACAGAAATACTAATTTAATGTGCAAGTTCTTGACCTGGACGGTATTCAAGCAGGAAGGACTACAGGACTTCCCAGCTTATGTTTCTCTGCTTTAATGACCAGGCTGCTAACAGTGCACAGGTGTAAGCAGATCATAACAGCTTACGGAAAATGCTGACAAAGCTCAGGCTGAGAGAAGTAAAAAAGGAAAAGCTTTTATTTTCTTGAGAACTCTTCCAACACTTTTCATACTAAACTGCTTTGTAATCTCTACGTAATCCACTTTTAAGCTTTGTTTTATGCCTAGTCTCTAATCACCTAAAATGAAACTGCAGCAAGTGGGGGAAGAAATCAACCATAATGAATCATTAGACATGTTTACACAGTAGACAGTCTTGAGATGTATCCTCCAGCTTCACGCCAAGATTTCCCCTTCTATTTTTAGCTTTATTTTGAAAGCTTGACACTGCTTAGGCTTGTCAAGTTATGCAGATGCTTTCCGTAGTGAGACGTGCTCTTCTCAGCTCCTCAGCTGCCATCATATTTCTCTTTTCTGCCACGTTCCTCACTTAATCTTTGAGACGAGAACTATTATAGAAGCATTTCTTAACCCCGACAGGATTACCTAGAGCAAATGGTCAAATTGTTAATCAGCCTGCAGAACTCTGAATGGAAACTGGGATGCCAAGGGTCTCTGCTCTAGCTCACAGATGCATATTTAACTTTAGATCAATAAACAGCCTCTAACAGGGCTGTGCAGCAAAATCCACAGAATGGAGACAAAAGTACATTAAGCATTAGGTAAAACAGGCCAGAGATACACCTGAAATCAGAGATAGTTTTTAACATTATTTACGACCGGATAACAACATGGGTGACAGTGCAGCTGAGGAAATCCAGTAATGTCAACTTTATAGGGAAAAAGTGGGTGGTACAGTTCCAGAAACTGGTACTTTCCAGGCTTCTGCTATGCTTCCTACTCCCCTTCTAGTCTGTATATACTCCCCGACTGTACGTGTCAGCCTAGACACCAGTGTCTGCCAACAGCAGAGGTTTCTGAAGCAAGCAGCCTGCCTTGCAAGCATGGAGAAACACTACTACCAAGCCGCTGAGTGCAAGGAAACAACCCCCCCTTTACCAGCTTGCATAGTGCACCAGCAAGCACAAACATCAGCCATCTCCCCCACAATGCTCCACGCTAGGTGCAAGGGGGAGAAAACCACAGGGCAACATGAGGGCCAGTGACTACATGGAATACATGGCTCTCTTTACACTGGAAAGCCACACCGCGGAGCTCAGCGCCCGGGAGGGCCGAGAGGCCTCTAGACCCGTGAGGGAGCGCCGCGGCTCCCGGGGAGGAGGCGGGAGCCGTCACGGACTCCTGCAGCCACCCGGCTGCACCAGGCCCCGGCCCCGGCCCCGCACCGAGGAGCGGGCGAAGGCGCCGCCGCTCCGGAGCGGCCGCCACTGCCACCGAGCAGCACCCCCTTCCCTCCGGAAACCGCCTCACACCACTTCCGGCGGGTTGTCACGTGGCCTCGCCGCCCAGGCCGCGCATGCGCACTGCGCCGCACAGAGCTAGCCCGCCTCGCCCTTACCGCCCTCGTGTGCGCGGCGGGGGTTCTGCAGGCGGCCGACGCGCATGCGCGTTGCGCCGCTCGGGGGGGGGGGCGCGCGCATGCGCACGGAGGGGGTGCCTGAGCCCCGGGCGGGAAGGGAGCGCTGTGAGGGGCGGGGGGACGTGGATACCTACACGCACATACATGTGTATACMTACATACATACCGAGGGTATTATAGTCCTTTCTAGGGCTACCTGTGTGGCTGAACCTTAGGAGAGAGCAAAAGGGAGCCCAAGCAGGGGATGGGTCCAAGTGGAGGTGCCATGGGGTTGGTACCTCTGTGCAGCAGAGCAGCCCCTCGCTGAGGAGGGAGTGCCGCCATTTTCAGTCCCCTTTCATGTGCAACAGAGCCGGGTGCTCCCTCTCAGGAGCTTGCAAAAGATAACACCTTTGAGAAGCACCATTATACAGGCCTATAAAGGTGCTCTGCAGCACCTTGCTCGGGCCGGCCGCGTCCCCCTGGCTCAGCTCTGCAGAAGCAGGACAGGCAGACGGCATCCATGGGCAAGGACAAGCAGAAAGCAGCATGTGGTGGAAGCCAGGGTCCCTTGGGGATGCTGTAGGGCTACGCACACATCCCGCTGGTGACAAAGACTTTTGTTACCGAGGAGATGACTAGTGGATTGTGAACGTGTGCCACTAGTGTGTTCCCTTCTCGGGAAAGCAGCAGCTGATGTTGGTCACTGCAAGGAAGCCATCTGATCCACGAACCATCTTTTTAAGCCTGGGAACAGCATAGACATTGTGCAACCATGTCCACARAGAGCGGCGCACTTTGAAGTTGAGAACCTTGCTGTTCAAAAGGCAGCCAGCTGTTCTGCACATGCTGGCAGAGCTGGGCTGAGGTGCGAAATGGCACCTATCGTGAGCAGCCTTTAGTGCTGGCTAATGTAAACCCCCTTCCAGCACCACATCTGGGACTTCAGAACCGTTTTGTCCAGTTACTGYGCTGCGAGAGCTGCAGGCTGCAGTGCAACCGCTGCGTACCACCGTGCTGCTGCTYGTGTAGGCATAACCCAACGGGCTGCCAGAGCAGAGCTATTTTTGTATCTTGGTTCTGGGTAAGGAACAACTCATGAGAGCAGATTCTAGAATGTAACAGCCACATAAAACAACATTTGTGAAGGACCTTTATCCTGAGAGTACAGGCAATAGTTGAATCTCTAGCTGCAAGGGAGTCTCTGGGACCCACAGCTTGTTCTTAATGTTGGAAACAGAAACTGTTTGGATTGACCCCACCAGCAGAAGAGGAAGGAGCTCTGAATAAAGGAATCCTAGTGATCCATTATCCTTCTCACTATTAGAACAGTATAAATAATAAAGCCATCCTTACAGGAGAAGCAAGGGGTCTCCTGTTTGGAGATGGAGGCAGCTGTAAATCGGATTCATTTTTGTCTTCTCTTGTATTTCTCCCAGGGTAATTAATCTAAAGCAGATGTATTATCTCTTACCATTTTCACAMATGCAGTTAGAAAACAAAACAGGAACAACCAAAGCTGGATGCAGTTAACAACCACCACCTGGTTGGAATCGGTTCCTCATTCCTCTGTGCTGGCCTAGGGGGACAGAAATAACAAGTGATTGTTACCCATCGTTATCCACGTTACCCAAGGTGTAATAGCTTCTTCTGGAGTTGTTTCTGACAATACTTATGCTCCCTTATTTATCCAGTTCAGTAGATATTCATACAAATCTCCTGCCCARCCGTCCTTTGCTATCTGTCAGCCTTTGTGACCACTGATTCCATCTCTGAGTTGCACAGCCAAACTTCACATTTTAACTTAAGAGCCACCATTAAATCTAGGCATTGATTTTCATGACCTTCTTTATCTTTGCTCCTTGTTTGACTTCCTTAAAGGAGAGGTCTTGGTACACTGCTTGCCCTCATGCATCGGAGGTAAACCTTTTGGAAACTGCAAAGCCAGTGGTTAAGCCTTGGTTATTAGATAGGTAGGGGCATCTCTCAAACCTGGCTTTACTGCCTTATGTCAGCATTAGTTTTACGCCAGGTCACTCATGTTGTTGCTTACACTTAATGCTCATGGCAAGGAAGGGAGGTCTGTGTGTGATTCACTGGTGGGGATTGCTCAGCACTTGGTAAGCGTCCAGCACGCAGCGCCGGCCTCTCCAGAGCACTGGCGTGAGGCACTGCCGAGCAGCGTGCTGGGATGGTCATTCCTTCATCCCGCTCCAGAGCATCCAAACATGCCTCCTGCATGGAGAACAGCCCGAAGCCGGAGCCTCAGCCCCTGCCCAGCTGCTGGGTGTGCTCATTTGGAAGAGATTAGTCTAAATCAGTCTCTGTGGAAGGAAATAGCCAAARTTTACCTCTTCTCTGTGCCAGGTTATCAGACTTGCTCCGTGTGAGCAGCTGGAGGGGACTYGATCCTTTAGCAGCAGCCTCATGATGGGGCCCGGTTGGTGGGTTCCAGACTGGCAGTGAGGCAAGCAGTGCAAGAGTGAGCATTATTAGACATATCCATAATGTTTTATTTCCCAGAAAATGCAGCTTCTCGGTCCTGTAAGAGCTGCTACTGTACTGCGTGATGACCCCCAGAAATTCCCACATAAATACTGACCAACTGTCTATAAAATATCCTAACTTGTTTCGTTATGTTGGCACACRCCCTCTAACACAGCGGGTGTCCAGGCCACGGTTGCAGCATCACCTATTGGTGAGTGCAGGCAGGTTTATTCAAGCAAGATTCAGTCTAAGCCCCTTTAGTGTTTCCTCTCCCAGCAAAAAATAGAAATCGGATTCATTCATACATCAGTGTTACTCTTAAAGGAGGGCATTCAGGGCATCCGACCTTCACAAATCTGGGAGAAATCACAGACTAATAAATTCAAGGAATTTTTTGCSACTAGCTTTCCCCATACACACGCCAGTTGTTTTCCTGAAGGAAAAGGATTGTGCAAAAAATTGTTCCCATAGGCACAWACGTCGCTGCAGCTCAGTGCCGGTGCTCAGCAGCTGTCACTCCTCCCTCTATTTCTACACTTGGATTTGGAACCAGAAGGGCTCATCCTAATGTGCACAAAGTRAAGCCCTGCTTTTGTATCTGTTTGCACTGACACACATGTCCRTGGCCTGCAGAAAGCACGCCGAGCATTTCTGGGCTCTTGTTCATTATAGCAAGGATTAAAAAGAAGAAAAAGCCTGTCAGACACAAGAAATATTTGCCTCGGCCTAGTATCAGCTTTCCGGCAGGAGTGCATGGGATTAATGGCTCTTGGCAGCCTGTAGGGCTGGAGCAAGTGCTTCGGGAAGATGGAGAGCTCCGGCAGGCTCCGGGACATAATTCACACCAGATGCCTTTGCTTTGGGTTCTCTCTCTCTCCCCTGGTGCGATAATGATGCTGATTTATTAGTGAAGACATGCCAGCACCCTCTTCCCAAGCAGCATGCTGCCTCTGCAGCCTGCCCTCAGCTCTTATTAATACCTTTTATCCCTCCTCATCTCCGCAGCACCGAATCCCACTTCAGGAGGAGCAGCAGGATGAGGCAGGGCAGGGGCTGTTGCCTGGAGATCAGCCCATGATTGAGACCAAGCCATGCTGCTCGACAAGCACTCTCACCCAAAGCCCTGTAATTTGTGTGTGGATTATTTGGTTGTAAACATGTTTCTAGGGAAGACAGTATTAAAACAGGAAAGATTAACAGCACAGGTATTCCTGCTCAGACTATGGATGCATCTATGAGCAGTCCAGGTTTGCAGCCTGCATATTTTAAGGAGCAGCCATTTTCAAATCCCAAGTGTCTCACAGAGGTGGGAAATGCATTTCAGAGCGAGATCTGGATATCAAACATYGACTCTTCTAACACGACAGTACCTTTTCTTCTGTATCTTTAACCGCAGACATYGTGGTGAGTTGTGATCGACGACTGTGGAGCTACACTGGGAGCTAGCAACAAATCCTGCTCGCCAGCTAGCTCGGCTTCCAGAGCACAGGACCAGGCACACAAACAGCGCCCCGTTTCCAGTATCTGCATCCAGCACTTCACACATACAGGATGAGCCTGTAACATAAATAACGCTACCCATCTCCCACTCATTTATGTAATCACTGCCTCCACACAAACACATGCTTAGGCAGCCTCCAAAGGAAAGCCCTGTTGCTCAGCACTTGCCTCTTCCTAGCTGCTTCACCAGCCAAATCAAACCCTGACACAGAAGAAAGTCACATGAACGTTCTCCCTCGTTTGGAGGCAAGCTGACCATGGGCTTGGTGGGATGCTTGAGACCCCTCTAGTCTAGTCCTAGTGCAGTAATCAAGATTTCACCTTAAATTTACAAATGGAAGGCACAGCAGCAGGAGGAAGGAGCCACCCCAGCATCATTCTCCTCACCCACACTGTCACCAAGAAAAGTTCCCTGTCCTACACAGGGTGGAAAGGGGGAAGGATGGAACAAATCTCCTGTCCACAGGCAGAGGCACCAGCCAAACTCTGCAGGGAGGACCAGAGCCAGCTCATTGCTGCTGGTAGTGAGAGTAATCTGAGGGTAATCATTAAGGTAACCATGCACATGTGAAGAGACAGGCCCTGACCACTCTTGTACCCGGCCATTCTCTCAGTCAAATCCAAGTCTATATCCACATAGATAGCCACTGAGCGAGATTTTGGCTTCAGGTAAATTTAAGCATCTTAAGTTGTCTCCCACCCAAACTGGTTGGTGTTTAAGCAGGTGCCAGGGTGCTTCCAAGTCTGGACCCAAACCCTCAAGCACCAAATTGACCCCAAAGGAACTAACATCTCTTTACCTTCCATACAGATTGTTAATATAAGGAACAAAGATTACTAGCACCAAATGCATATCTGAAGACTCCATCCTCCTATTCTGTTATCCGCGTCCTTTCGCTTCCACCATGTGTTAAACTTTCCTCATTTCATATTTATTCCCTGCTCGTGCCCTGGACTCTCAGTCCTACACAGAGATACTCCCTACATCCCAGGTTAAGTGAGATGCGGAGCTCAGATGGCTTTGCTGCTGGGACAGTTCAGGTGCCCACACTGTCTTTGAGAGGCAGGACACATGGTGGAGCTCTCAGAGCTGCCAGGAGGAAGCAGGAGGTGTCCAGAGGGAATCCAGGGGACGGCAGGGAGAGGAAGAGGGCGAGGGAAGAGCAGGATAGTGAGATGGTGGGAGCTGAGAGGCTGGAGCTGGTGAAAGGCAGAACATTCCTCGTTCTCTCAGACTCAGCTGCAAAAACACCAGGAGATGCTGCAATACCTGAAGCATAAACCCTTCCTCAAATAGCAAGACATCATCCAAGAACTGCAGAGAATAAACACGACCTTTATGCTTCAGGACTGAACAGAGATGAAGGCAAGTTTTCTTAATGGAAAACTATCTAAGATGGCTGAAGATACTGGAAATCTAATTATACATATATATTATATATATGTAATCCTAAAGCCTTTCCTGTCAGCCCTTGGAAATCCTTTGAACCAGTTGTTTCCTCAGGTAATGGAAAAGAGCAGGTATTTCTGAGAGCAGCACTCACACAGCAGTATTACGCAGCCTTGTAGCTGGGTATTGGTGTTATCTTTAGGATGTCAGGGGCTGAAGGAATTGAACAGCTTAAGAGTCACTTTCTGCCTCTTGGGCGCTATTTGGTTTCCCTCCAGCTCAGGCTGAGCTACGCTGAGATGAAACAGTCAAGGGAGGTTCGTCCGCTGAAAGTATTGGGGAATCTGCCCTGTTGATTAATGCAGTTGCAGTGTCCAAAACTGCAAGGCTGGTTTAGTTTTCCGATATTCAATTTCCTGTGTATTTCAATATATTCAAAGACAGTGAAGCAGAAAGAAGGGAAAAAACACATGTAGACCCACAGGTCCAAAGCCATGCAAAATTAGAGGCAGATGTATTCATGCTTGGGACTCCCAGATTCCGACTTCAGCAGAACCTTGAGCACACTGCAACTTTGAATAGAAGACTTGAGGCATTATTCTCTTATTCGTAAGATTCAGACACACACACAAAAGAATCTGTGAGAGCTGTGTGTACAAACAGCACAACTGCACAGCCACATAGCCCTCGTTAGCACAGAGCAAATACTACGGTACCTATCACATGCAGCATCCCATTACACAGCTCCTCTGAGGCATGAAGAGGTCTGGTCCTGCAGCCCTCTATACTTCGGTTTTCACCTATGTAAAAGAAATACTGGGTGGGGTGTCAACATCTTACAGGCATTGGGGTTGGACTCAATAGAGTTTTAGTCACAGTAGAGTAAAAACAAATTACAGGAAGGCAGTTTCCATCTCAGTGAAAGAGAATAAATGACCAAAATGTCTGTTTCTAGAATATAAAGGCTGTGATTATTAGTTCATGATTTAGGCTGCATAATTCTGTTGCTTAATCTTCTTAGTTCACTCAGTCACCTAGAAATTCATTTTGGGAAGGGTCCTCAAAAACTCAGCAAGTCTGGGGCATTTAGAGCATTTTATTTTTTCATTCCTCAGAACTGTTCTTAAAAAATTACATTATAATCTCTGTGTTTTAATAATTGTATAACCCGCAGGGGAAAAGAAGAGCTAAACCCAGTTTTCCTTAATGCATGTTTATCAACATTATCCATAATATTAAAAAAAAGAAAAAGAAAAATCATTGCACAAACACTCTCCCCTTCATTTGAAGAAGAATTCACATCTTTTTACGTCTTTTAACAGTTTCCCCCTCCATTTAGCATGGCAATGATACGGGGATGAAATTAGCAGGAGCACTGTAATAATAACCATTATTTTCTGTGTTATTTACAAATTAATGGCTCGAGGCCCTGAAACACTTTGTGCGTTGGGAAGATGGAGTCTAATTTCCAAGCAGGCAAAAAGCAGAGTGCCTCTCCAAAGATTAAGCAGCCCATACCTGCCTGTGATATATTAAGCTCCTTATTTATTGTTCTTGGAGGACCTTCGTTTCGCTGTATTGTAGTTAGTACTCTTGTGGTCAATGATTTCATTGCCATACTTAACCCTCCTGCTAGAGCCTTTCTCCTTTCCATTATTCTGCCGAGCAATTTAATTCCCTCCAAGTCAATAAATTGCTAGAGAATTGAATTAGTATCGCTGTAGAAATTAGTCATACAGTACAGGCAATGCTATATGGGTCCTGGTTTAAACTATTCTGCTGAACAGGACAGGACAGCTATATTCAACTAAATAAAAACGATATATCAGTTCTTTTCAGTCTCTTCGGGCAAAATTCTGTTACATGGATGTAAATCTCACATCGCTCTGCTGACTGCACTCCAATTCCTACATATTTTTCTCTAATGAAGCGGAGAGCAGAATGGGACTGTTTGCCAAAAAATTACCATTTATATCATTCCCTTATTGTTAACTCTGGACGCGACAGACTTGTCCAGACCTTGCTGGCTGCCTAGCAGTGCGCCTCAAGAAAATAAAATAAAAACAAATCAGCCACCTCATTTATAGAAACTGCACACCATTTTTATGATTTTTATGCCCTTGCATATCAGATACCACTGGCTTGATGGCCAGGACTCCAGTTTCATCTTTATCACCCCTTAGCTTGAAAATTTGGCTAGCAATGAATAAAGATGCATTATTGAAGGGCGGTCTGGCCTGGGCCTGTGGGAGATGTGAGAAACAAGAGATGGGAGGACAGCAGAAGAAAACTACGGGCACCAGGGGCAATCCCAGCTCATCCTCTGGGGAAGCTCGGACCATGGGGCCCACTCATGTCACACACAAATATCTGGCCCTCTGACCTTAATGATGGAATGATGCCTTAGCCTGTCCATTCGAACCCAGAGATTCAGATCCCAGAAACACCATTCCTGGTGTTTTCAGAGTCTTCTTACTGCCAAGTCTCTCTCAATAGGAGCTGCCTCAAGGAAGAAGGAAAAAGGAGGCGAGAGGGACAACAGAAAAGGAGCCAGCCTTGCAGCACCTATAGTCTTCACGCAGGAGAGCAGCAGAGCCAACAGGAGAGCCTTTCCTCCTCCCACAGCAACTATAGAGCTGTACATCTGCGTGGCCTGACGAACACAGGCTTGCTTTAACGCATGCCCTACCTTCCTGCTCTCTCCGCCTCTCCAATAGTGCCCACTAATGAATTTGCTGCTCTCCTACGTCCTTCCTAGCCGCTTTATCGACGGGGTGAACTGAAAAGGTTTCCAATTACTGCCAGGGCTCAAAGACCTGCACAGAAGGGATTAGTCCAGCTTTGCTGCCTCCATAGCACTGCACAGCGCTGAGATTTGTCCCACTGAGAGCTGCCTTCCTGAATCCCGCTGTTTTTACTCCTGTAGCAATGGCCATGCTGTACCCTTCCTTTGCCATCACCACCACCATGAGCTCCAACCTAGCCGTTCCTCTATGGTCTCAAAATGCACATTTTCCCATTTAACACATGCAAGCTGCAATATATTGATCTAGGCTCTTAGCTTTGTGGTCCAGGAAAGCAAATCCTACACTTGCTTCATGTGGGCATGAAAAGCATCACCGATGGAGACACAAATGAGGGACTCTGAATGCTAGAGAGCTTTAAGTTATCCAGAGGACTGCTCAAACCATAAAGGGAAAGGGATGCAGGCACCTTGAGCAGACTGGGATACATCCCCTTTGCTCTTTATTGTTAAACTCTGGTACTGCACATCTGATACAACTTACTCTGACACAGCTGCCATCTCATAAGGCCATATTAAGTAACCTGATTAGGAAAAAAAAAGTGGCTTTGGGGCATATTTATTTTCATAGCATTACAGAATCCTTCAGGTTGGAAGGGACTTTTAGAGATCATCTAGTGCAGCCCACCCAGAGCCCGTGGCACAGGGCTGCGTCCAAGCGGGTTTTGAACATCTTTTTCTTATTTTCATTCTTCTTGTTCACAATGATCAGATGATAATAAAATGCATGTGACTGACTAAAAAGATGTCTGGAATGTATCCCCCACCATATATACACATATCTTTTTTTTTTTTTTCTTCTCTCCTAAAAGGAGAGGTCTATCTCTCTCTCTTTTTAAAGCTTTGCAAGCAGCCCTAAAATATATCAAGAAAGAAGCAGCTGAAAGAGTAAGGAGAAAATAGGTTCAGCTTCAAATGTAAGAAATGATAAACTGGAGAAACAGCAATGGATTGCCAAAAGATAATTAAGATATATAGCCCTTTGTCAGGAGGGAAAAAAGAAGATGAGTAGGAAGAAGTAAAAATATCATAGGATGGCTTCAGTACAGTATTTTTCCTGGTTCCTCTTAATAAGAGGGCAAATACTCCTTGAGAGAAACGAGCACTGTATTCAAATCAAACACAACAGCTGCCACTTGTGTAACAGAGCCATTAAATTAATGATGCTGCAGGGCAAGGGTGCAAAAAAGAAGAAATCAAACCCTAAAGTGCGCTCTAGGACCAGACTTGCTAACAACGCTGCAGTGGGAAGGCACAGAGCCGAGTCAGATGTTAAATGTAGGTGCAGAGTGACAGGGCAGCAAAGAGGCCGGTGACAAAACGCCGCTCCCGCTGCTTATTCTGCCCGCCACGTGAAGCCCAAGCAAGGTCTCCAGAAGGAACCGCCAGGCTCCGGGGATCCTTGGTGAGGAAGGATGACCATGCATCACCGCTGGCTTCAATAAAGGCACGAACCCAGGATATGCCGAGGTACCTTACAGCTTCTTCAATGCCTTTGCTGTCATCCACTAAAACACAAGTCTGTCAGCTCAACCAGACAGACATAAAATTCAGCCTTGAGGTACACATACAGTTGATGAAAACAAATTTTATCTTTCCTTAAAATCTCACGGAAGTAAGAGTTTAGGATTCTACAGAAAACAAAAAAATCAATAACCGTCTCTTTCCTATTCTTCTTCCTATTATAATAGTGGCTACTTTACATTTTACAGATATTTGTCATCTTTGCGTACAGACACATAGCTGAAAATGAAACCCTTACTCCAAACTGGCACCTGTCTGCTAACTTATGTAATGGAACAGTTCCTCCACCCCAAGCCTACTGCATGGGTGAAAATGGATTTTATTTTATCTGTAGTACCTTGAGAATACGTCCATGGCCCACGACTCAGCTCAGAAACAACAGGCTCTCTGAAGTGGACACGAGCTTGCCCCACTTTCGGGATGCTCTTCACCTAGGGAGTTGACCGTGTGCTGCAGAAGACAGCAGTTACATGTGAGCACACGCTAAGCACAACCTTCCAGACAAAACCTATTCCTTAAGTTTATCTCATGACACATTAGCTTCAGAGCAGAGCTAGACTGACCTGGAAAATTTTAACCTTCCATCTAAGTGAAGAACAAACCGGACTCCTTTCCTCTGATTTGATTTCTTGGGTCATTTTGACACCAATATATTGTAAGATACAGGATTCACTTGAGGCAAAGTTGCTTCAGGATAGGAAATCATGATAGATCAGGTCCCATTTTAGCTATATGTCTTGTCAACAGCAGAATTCCCACTAGTAAATAGACCCCTATATAAAGTATTAGGGAATAATTTGGTTTTAGGTCTCCTGAGCAAGAGAACCTAGTAAGCTAGAAATGCTTTACAGTTCCAAAAGACTTTAGACCAAAAATGCCTCTCAATTCTTTAAGTATCCTTTATTTATTCTTTTATTATGAAGACAAAGTAGTCTGAATGATTTTGGTTTAACATGCTGTCAGTGAAACATATAATGACGTGCGGCTTAAAATAATGCTACTGAAATATTTAGACTTTCAGAAAATTAGCTTAATACAAAAGACACTTTTTGGAATATACCACAGATATTGGTTTCTCTGCCTTTTTAAAAAAAAAGACTACTCATCTGAACTAAGACCCCAGAAGGCTGAATTAGCAGAACAGAACCCAGAAATCAATGTGACTAAAGACAGCAAGCAAAATAATCAACCACCACCTCACCTTTCCAGCCAAGAGATGGAGGTGGTAGAGATACAGACAATATGCATAAATATGGCCTTTAGACTGCTCTGTAGACACTGCCACTCACTCTCAACAGAAACACAGTAGAGAAAGACCTGCGCAAAAGGAAAAGAGCTTCAGTCATGGTCATCTCCATTTGTAGGGCAAGGCATTTTACCCACACCAGTTACTCTTGGTTGTGATCAACCAAGAGTGAACCAGACACAGATCTACTGTTGGCTGGAGCTGGCGGTTTGCTATGCTCTTGTAGATAYGCAACAAATTAACACTTCGAAGGCRCATTTCCTAATTTCTGAGTTCTTAGCCTCAGAATAGGAGCATTTTTTTTTCAGTTTCTCAGTACAGACTTTGTTGCTGACCCATAAACAACAATAATCTGATTGCTTCTTTATTGGATGACAATTAACTAAATTCATTATAAGGTTTATTCACTAAAGAAAATGATGTCTTGTCTGTATCTGGCTTCATTTACTTACAGAAACAAAACCCAACCTCTGCTCCCTGTTTACCCTCTTGAGAGCTGGGCTTTGAGATAACACATTCCCTGGCCATCAAATGGCAATCAAAATAATGCTAATCCTGGCAGCACTAGCTGCAGTGATAAAATAATAGTTCAAACAAATCAAAACCTTGTGTTTGCAAGGTCTGTGCAAACCCACCAGCACTGCTAGCAAAGGCAATATTTTTCACCTCAACAACTGCACAAAGTTGGCTCTCTGAAACATTAATATTCCATCCGATATGCTAAATTCCTTCTAAACAACATTTGGTGGGTTAGTGTGTCTTCTTCAAGAGCCGTTACTTTTGACTCCCTTGAGAAATGGTACTTCAGACCTCTTCCATGTTATGCTTATTTTGGTGCTCGCTTTTAAAGCTCACAAATAATCTTACTGACTTTGGCTTGAACGTTTGCTCCCTCAGCTTTGAGTCATCACTCTCTGTCCTATCACCATAAGAACTGGATTTATACCATCCCACAGGAGGGAAGTTACCACAGTAAGGGATATATACCAGGCTACCTTGAAAACACTCACAGCGTCTGGTTATGTCTCCTCAGAGAAATCTCCTTCCTAAATTATATAAGTGGAGCTGTCTGGGTCTTACTTGCGCCAAAGTCTTATGCCAAAGTCGTGCAAGACAGAATTCGTCCAACAAATAGAAGGGCTTATTACTGAGTGGCCAAAAAATTTAGTCAATTTTAATAGCAGAAAAGAGCACTAATTTGCTCTCAAAATTTGCACTGTCTCTAACCTGATCTGTCAAGTCCTTGGGCTTCAAAAAAAAGTTTGGGCTCGTTACACTTTCCAAAAGAAAATTCTCATGAGGGTCAAACTTAAGACTTCCACATGCATTTCCATGAAGACCACCTTATAAGTTGCAAGCTCAGAGCAGTAAGAAAGAGAAGGCAACGTCTTTTAGAAGACTGATGATCCAATCAAGAAAATCTAATCTAGCCACCTGGGTGCTACAAGTCCTTGCGTAATGTTTGCAGAGCTTGAGGAGCAACCAGCTCCATAGGCAGCTGGAAAGAAAGACGGTGACTAAGCAAAACGGAGACACTGCAGAGAAGCAGACTGGTTTATCTGCATCGCAGCTCATGTCGTGGAGCTACATGCTTTAGAGTTACCTTTTCACGGAGACTTAGAGAAGTATGAAGGGCCAAACCAATCAAAGTGGCAATGAAAATAAATGCAAACAACCTGACAGAAGGCTCTGCAAAAAGGCTTCCCAGAAGGCTTGTGAAGTGGCTTCATTGCTGTTCTCAACAGCAACCAGTCTTAGTGGAGATGGCAAGACAACGACAGCTTTAAACAGGTCTTAAACCAGAGAAGATGAAGCAACTCTGAGCTCAGAAACAGGTAAATTGATTGAAAAATGAGTCAAAAAGAACTTATGGAATCTTTAGTTGTACCAGATGGTATGGGAATTTCATACCTTCCCTCCTCCCTCTCCCCCCCCCCAAAAAAAAAAAAAAGAAATAATTAGCCATCTCAGAAGGCATTTGAACATATCAACAAAAGTGTTGTGAAACCCTGTGAAAGACAGGGTGGTCTGCCTCATTAGGGTCTCAAGAAGTTCATAACTCCTCCTARTTACTGGGCATGAAATTAAGACTAGCTAATAAGCTACATTTCTAGCTAAGAAGCACATGACTAATCTAGTCTAATATGCTAGATTAGCTCCACCAAAGCAACTTTCATCTCCCWATGGCCAAAGCTGCCCGAAGACTCCAGATCTGTGGCTTTTTACAGGCTCAGTAAGTAGCTTGTGAGCTACCTACAAGACCCACCACCTACACAATGTGCAAGAATGGCCATTTACTTTCTTGCCAGCAAGATGGCTAAGCTTTTACCCATGTTATTGCCCTTTTAATCCTATGAGTGCAACAGAAAAATATGAAATTAATATTAGACCTGGATAGTTCCAGCAAATCCAAGATTTATCCTTAGAAGTACAATAAAAACAGGTAATATCTTTGCCTTTATTCTTAACTTGATTTTAAATTACCTTATGTAAGGGCTGGTATCATGAAGGCAGGGCATCCTCTGAGAACACATTTACAAAGTATTCAGTTCATGGCACAAAACTAATAAAATTTACTGCCAGTTCACATGAGAGCCACGACAGATGATTACTATTAAAATGAGAATTATTCCTAATAACACTAATAAACACAGAACACTGATCAGGGAACGTGCAGTGACTCATTCCAGGCAGCAGAATGAACCTGCCTGGGGCCAGAAAAGGGAAATCGAGCAAATCCTGCGGGGAAGATGGGGATGTGGCTGCCCCTCACAAGCAGSGCAGCTGGGAGCCCTTTGAGCTGGGCCGTGTCCTCACCGATGGTCCCATTGCTCCTCAGCCAGGTGCTGCAGCCACAGTGGATCCCATGCACACTCCAGGCAAAGGCAGGATAACAAGCCAGGCCCAAGGTCACCCCAGGAGACACAAACCACTATGGGGAATGGGGCTAGGACAGGCCCTGTCCTGCTGAGGCTCCAAAGGGAGCAGRAGCCTGGGCTGGGCTCATATGAGCTCCTGGACCCTGGGTGGGGACAGGTCCCAGGTGAGGCCACTCAGGATATTTAAATTTATTCCTGGTCTCAGAACCCAGCCCAAGTTTGATTTGAAAGTTTCCTTGCAARTTCAGTAGCTTCATCCAAACCTTACCTGGAAAAATAGCCAAAGGTTCTTCCCTATCCTGTAAACACATCCCAGCCATATTGGGCAAGAATGAAAAGAAAAGGTGGAAGCTGAGATCTGGGGATTAGGACTTCCCARGTCCCCATCTTGACTTGGGCAATAACTTTACTGTGTCATTGGGAAGGCTGGAAATACCCGGAGAAAATTCAGATCTTCATATAAAAAGGTTTCCAGGACTGTGCTGTGCCAGTAGTGTACAGTGGCTGTCCCCAAGTGAATCTCTCTCACTTATATTATTATTATTATTTATTATTATTATTCCCTCTGAGCATCAGTCCTTTTCTAACAGCTTGGGGCAAGGTACCACCACATCTGTATTTCACAGTGCCTTAGTAAGTAAAGCACAGCTCGGCACTGAGCTAAGCTCATAGAAATAAGTCTCCGGAACAAACAAACAAACAAAAAARCCAAAACAAACTAGGGGTAAAGCACAAGCTGAAATTTGGTTCTAGGCAGACATAAACTAAAGCAAGGACTGATGACATGGAAAGAGTGAAAAACAGCCACCGGGGCCTTGTCCTCCTTGTATTTATGTCATACCAAGACACAGCAGGCAACGAAGATGCACTAAGACAAGAAAACTTCGGGGTTTTTTTTTGTGATCGTATATGTCAGGCAGCAGGAAGAGTTATACAGACAAACTCTGCAATTCTCTCTGAAGTGCCTGGTTTTCTTGCCACCGAACCATAGGGCAAGGCATTAATTTAAGAAACCGAAACCAGTATCATCTGAAATCGCCAAATTCTGTTTAGCAAAACAAAAAGTGTTTAGCATCTCGGGACTGCTAATGAGAATGAGRGGTTTATTAGCCAGCCTGTTTTCTACTCAACAGTCTAACTACGCTCCTGCTGTGCTGTTTCCCTAATAGGTCTGTGGATTAAATGCAAAGTTTTTTTTCTAGTAAATGAGGCTTCAGGCTAATGCTGGAAGAGACAATGTATTTCAGTGCCGAGGATATATGTATGTGTTTTGTTTTGTTCTGTTTTGCTCTGTTCTGTTTTTAAGGGAAGTCTTTTAAGCCCTTTGCTCCCCACTGGTCCCCCTGGAGAATGCAGAGCCAGAAGGAAAGCCGCAGGGAAATAAGGCAGATCCCAGGAGGCTGAAGGGCACTTTTCTCCGTGCCTTTTCAAGGCTGGCACGGACAAGGCGGTGGGGCTGGGGCACAGGAGGGGCTAAGAGCACAGGGAGCTGCAGCAAGTGCCATTAAAACCTTCTTCCCCTGATACCCACAGCCCTCTCCCAGACTTTGGGGGCTTCCATCACACCCAGTACTCCCTTTTCCTGCACAGACCCTTTCCCTGCACTTCTGCTTTTCTTCCTCCCCTCCCTGCCTCTCTTCCCTTGCCCCTGCAAACTCTCTGCTTCCTCTCAGTGTCTCCTTCTACCGCTCCGCAGTTTATATATACGTATTTTTCCTTCCAGATACTGCCACTGTGCTCCTGTCCTCTCTTCCTGCAGTGCCATGTTTTGGATTTCTAGCTTGAACACTGATGTTGGACTCAGCTCTTGCTTTTTCTGTGGACTGAGCCCAACATTAGACTCACTAATGGTCATTGGTATCATAATGCCCATAAAACTATTTAGGCTGCAACTCAGCCAAGCTATTTTCACAGCACTGGGGTCGATTCTGACCAAAACCTGTAGAAAGTGCATGGACAGGCAGACGGAAAATCAAGGTATGTTTTAAAGAAAATTCACCGCAAGGCAATACGCAGACTTGATGCTTCTCTGCAAAGTGTCAAAACAAGAGGGAGTTCCTCTCATTTTTCCTATTTTTGCCATTTTTTCCCATTTCTGGATACCTTGCTGCAACTGCATTTCAAACTGCCACCAATGCTGTACAAATCCCAAACTATGGGATTGAGATCAGGGGATAAA